GAGTGTGTGTGTGTGTGTGTGTGTGTGTGTTAGAGAGAGAGAGAGAGAGAGAGAGAGAGAGAGAGAGAGAGAGAGAGAGAGAGAGAAAACATGTATGTGAGTACCTATAGGGTCCAGAAAAGGGCACTGAATCCCCCAGAGATATAATTACAGGTGGTTGTGAAATGCCCAGTGTGGGTACTGTGAACAAAACACTAGTCCTCTGAAAGAACAGCAACTGTTCTTAACTACTGAGCCATTTCTCCAAACCCACAAGTAAACTATTGAGTACTGAGACTCTGAGCCTGCTTTCTTCACAGGCTGGGAGACAGCAGTCAGTCACGGTTGGAAGACTGAGGGCAAACTTGGAGACAGAGATCTGAAGGTTCTGATTTGGTGTCTCAGTATGTGGCTCAGCCAGATAACTAACTGCACAGTGAAGCTTGGGGCTTCCAATAGTTCCTGGCTCTTCCTCATAAACAAAACCAGAGGTTGTATGATGCCCAGGAGCAGCTTCTAATAAAACTGAGTCCTGGGGCAATAGTGATACATACTTGTGATCCCAATACTCTGGAGGCTGAGCCAGGAAGATCTCAAGTCAAGGGTAGCCTGGCTACAAAGCAAAAGCGTGTCTCAAGAAAGCAACTAAAACAAAAACAAAGACTACAACAACAGCAAAAAGGCTAGCAAAAGAGAGTTTCTAAAACAAATGGAAAACACACACACACACACACACACACACACATACACACACACACACACACACACACACACGCAAATGAAACATCCTATGGAGGGTAAAGAGAATACTTTAAAATTACTATATCATATATCTAGCTATAGATATATGATATAGTAATTTATGTGACATATATGACATACTATATGTATGATTATATTTGTGATTATATATAAATATATACACATATATACACATATATGCACATATATATATATATATATATGTATATATCTTGAAGGTATATGAATATATCTTTAGTAAAGCAGTTACCTACTATGTGCAAGGCTCTGGGCTCTATCCTCAGCACCCCCCCCCAAGACTATAGTAAGATAAATAATAGAGAAGCAGTGAAAGACTCCAACACCCAAATAAGAAAAGGTCCAGGAAATTTAAAAAACTAATAAAGAGGTAGGAAATAAATAATAAAATAATTAAAATACATTTTATCTATAGAAAAGCTTATCAAAGTCTAAAATTTTCAGAATCTGAAACTCTGAAGATGAAGAGAAAATTCTCCAAGCTTCTGGAAGTAAAACCAAAACAACAACAAAAAACCCCAAGAAACAAAATACAGAATGTCATCTTTTTTTTTCTTGTTCTGTCATTTTTTTTTCTTTTTTCCCCTGAGACAAGGTCTTACTGTGCAGCCCTGGCTGTCTTGGAAGTCACCCTATAGACCAGGCTGGCCTCAAACACAGAGGTCTGCTGAGTGCTGGGACTAAAGGCATGTTCTACCATGACTGGAGGCCTCAGACTCCTCAACATCACAGAGGAAGGCATGAAAACAGTATCATCAAAATTTTTAAGGAAAAATGTCAACCAAGCAGATGACAACCTTCAAGAAAAGTGAATACTAGTCAATGTGAGAGTGAAGACACAGGGCAAACCTCAGCTTCCTCTTTCTTTCTTTGTACCTCCTCCATCAGGTAGGCATCATGTAGGCCTCATGGAAGCATCATGTAGGCCTCATGGAAGCATCACGTAGGCATGATGTAGGCATCATGGAAGCATCATGTAATGCCTCATCAGGAAGGCTCCGAGGCTTCACTCCTTCAAAATGGAGAGTGAACTGAAAGAAAGCTTAATGCCATGAAGAGAGCTGGAAACTTGGTACAGAAGGGAAGTGGGGATAGCCAGGAGGATGGTGAAGGGAGGCAACTAATAGCCTTTCAGGCAAGCAAGGCAACCCGTCCAGATAACAATAAGATGATTTACGAGTCAGGAAGGCTGGAGGCTGTCATCATGCCCTCTGCCATCCTAAGTAAATTATGAAAATCTGTAATAGACTTAAATGTTTTGGAAAATTTCGGGTGACTGGGTAGAACCCCCAGGCTGAGACAGATCTTCCTCAGCTGTAATCTGTGGCAACAAGGCTAAGAAGTTTGGTTGGCTCCATAGTGTGGATTTCTGTGTTGATAGCAAAATGTGGTCTTGCTCTGGGGCAGAAGGTGGAGAACTGGGGTAGTGGTAGTGGGAAGAAGCCAGTTCCCTCCCATTCTTTCCTGCCCCAGATATCTCCCACTGGAGTTCTGCTCAACACATTCTTCCCTCAAAGGAATCACAAATTCACGAGAACATAACTTCTGAAAGAAGTTGGAGTCTGGGTCTCTTCCACCAGGTGATTAGGTGACTGAACTCTGAACAAACCATATATCCATTTCTTTTAGGTAAGGAATGCTCAGAATTTGACAATCTAGCCTGAGTCCCTGGAACTATACTCCTGAAGAGTACAACTCCCCAGACCTACACATGAGGCCCTCAGGAGACGGGTAATGCATATGAGAAAAGTCAAGCGTGTATGTTTTGTTTCCTTTATCCTCCAACTCGAACCA